CCCCGGGCCCCGGCTCCGGCGCCGTCCCTCCTCACGGGCCGGGCGCCGCGGCCCCGGCATGAGGAGCGGGCGATGATCCCTGCCAACGCCTCCGCCAGGAAGGGGCCCGAGGGCAAGTACCCGCTGCACTACCTCGTGTGGCACAACCGCCACCGGGAGCTGGAGAAAGAGGTCCGCGCCGGCCAGGTAGGAGAGCCGTCGGGGCGCCGCGGGGACCCCGGCCCGGCACGCCCTTCCAGCGTGGGGAGGGGGCGCGGCGCGCTCTGTCCCGCCTCCCCGGCGAGTTTGCAGCGCTTCTTTGTTTGCAGCGGTGGCTTTTGTGCTTGTTGACCGGGAGAGGGTGATGGGAGAGGTCCCCGCCTGCTCCCCTCCTTTCAGGACGGGTGGCCCACACGTGTTCCGGGCCCTCCAAGTCTCGGGTAGGGGACTCTGCGCCCCTCCTCTGTCGGGGCAGTAGGGCGTGCAGGGAGGGGCTATCGGCTCTGTCTGTGGGCCATGTGGTGGGAGAGTCCGCTGCGCTGAGTCTAGGCGCGACACCTCTGTGTGAGTGTGCGGAGGTGGGAAAGGCCTGCGTGGGGAGGGGGCCACACAGGAGCGGTGGGGGGTGCTGTTGGCACTCTCAGGCATCCCAGCCCCACCCAGTGTCTTCTCACTTCCTGGTGAGTGCCTTCTCTGTCCACTCCAAGTGGACACCACCGGTGCATGCCTCTGACCCCCGAGGGACCTCGGGGGAACCCTAGGGAAGAAGGAGACCCTACAGGGATATCGCTAAGGGCCTTGTCCAGGTGCTGAAAGGCGCTCTCCTGCCTTCTGGTGCTGGGGCCTAGCTTCTTGGAGCTGAGGAAGATAGGGGACAACAGGAAGGACTTGGGGCTTTTGTACTGAGCATAGATTCTCTGATTCCTGCCAATTAGGGAGCCCCAGTGGGTCAGGCAGCTTTGGGCTGAGCAATGATCTCAAGGAAGACTGGGAGCCAGTTGTGGTGGCACATGCCTGTAGTCTCAGCAATGGGGAGGCAGAGGCAGGAGAAACACAAGTTTGAGGCCAGCCTGGTCTACTCCATGTTCAAGACCAGCCAGGTGCTACATAGTGAGACCCTATCTTCAAAAACCAAAACAAGCAAATAAGCAAGCAAGCAAACACACAAAAAGACTGGGGAATGGCTGTTGTCTCTTGGCCATTCTTCAGGACAAAGGCAAGCATAGGTCACAAATAGTCCTTAATTCTGCCCTGGCCACCCAGACCACAGGCAAACACTCATGGTGAAGATAGCCCACTCTCCAGGAGGGGAAGCAGTGAGCAGGGCTGGGCCCAGGCTCCCCTTGCTTGTCTAAGGTTCAGACCTCCAGACTTGATCAGGGTCTGAGACTTAGGGGCTGTCAACCCAAGTTCAGTATGAGGATGGTCTAATTCCCATGGGAAGAAGCCAAGGCTGGCCGTCAGACTGAGCAGAGAATAGGGCTGTGTCTCTGAAGTTCGTCACATACCTCTTAGACCAGTGCAGCTCTCAGCTCTGCACAGCTTCCCACTGAATAATGGAGTGACTTGGGTTTGCAAGCCTCGGGGGCTAGCCTGGGGACCCACTTCCTTTCTGCCTCTGTTTATACAAGAGGTTGGTTTATCCCTCATAAAGGGATAAAGTTGGTTTATCCCTCATGAAGGGAGAAGGTCAGAGAGCCCCTGGAAGCACAAGGTACAAATGCCTGTCCTTGAGGAGACTTAGTTCTGGGAAGCAGGTATGGGTGGGGGTTCCAGTGTGGCACAGCATGTTAAGACCCAGCCCAGTCTTCTCTGGCTCTTCATTTTCCTTGCCTGGGGAACTCCCCCAAAGATTCAGGGATTGTTAGAAGGCTAAAGACTGGATCTGCAGACTGTCTCAGTTTAACCAGGGCCTATGGGTGGTCCTTTTCCTGCAGCCTAGAGACAAGTAGAATGCCTTGGAAGAAGGCTTTTTCATCTAGACCTCTCTGTTGACAGACCTCAAGTCAGCAGCCATCTTGCTTGGGAAGCTGGCCTGGGGATCATCAGCTGCTGCAAGAAGAGGTGGCCAGGGTTCTGAGCATGTATGTTTTCCCCTTCCTCAGGCTGCAACAGTAGCTAGGTACCATGTTCACTCCATGTTCACTGACCCTGGCAAGTTAGTGTCTCTTGAAATGGACACCTCCTGTCTGCCCTCCATCCAGGCCAAGGGAATATAGGGCAACAGTGAAGTTAACTCTTGTTCAGCTGAGAAAAGCCCAGGCCAATCCTCCCCTTCCCTCCAGGCTACCACGAAGGAGCATACCAGTCAGCCTTGATGGGAGAGCTCTTGGCTGTACCCCAACTCTGGAGCTGACACAGAGTGACACATGCATTCAAATGTACATTGTCTCATCTTTGGGGCATCAAGCTGTTTCCTCAGGAGGATGAACCTGGGGGTGAGCCACCTGACATCATGATAAACCCTGCAAACTCTTAGCTTCTCAGCTTGGGATGGGGGTGGTCCCTGACCTCTGGAAGCCTGGTACAAGCCACTTCAGAAAACTGCCAAGCTTTCCTCAAGCACTTGGCAGCTGGGTTTTCCTGGCCCTTGCTTGGTATAACTGTACCTGTTTCACTCCAACAAAGCCCTTCAGAGGCCTCCCGAGGGCAGCCCTGGCAATGCTGACTGGCTGAGTAGGGCCGAGTATAATGGCTTTCAGACTGGCAAGCCCCTGTGGCTGTTCTGGGAACAGTGGGCAGATAAGAGGTGCAGGGGAAGGGCCTAGCTGATACCTGGAGTACTGTGGTTGTCAGTGCCCTGCCAGAGTAGGAGGGACAGTGGTTTACCACTGGTATGCCAGTTCTCCCTCACCTGGCATGGCCTTGATTCTGGAGTCACAAAATCCTGTGGGGTGAGGGAGCAGGGTTTGATACACAGCTTCCTGTGGAAGGCATTTACAGGGACGGCCATTGGAGCAGAATTTTCTCCATCAGCAGGGACTCTGAAGGGGGCCAGACCATTGTCTTAGGAACATTTGCCTCTTCCTGGGGTTGCCTCTGCCACAGTCTGTCTTCCCACTTTATCCATTCATCCTTCTTATCTAGAGATAGGTGAGAGACCAGTTATGTTGGGGACTTTGAGGAGCACCTGGGACCTTCTTTCGTCCTAAAATTATTAGGACTTTGAGGAACACCTGGGACCCTCCCTCGTCCTAAAGTGGGTGTGGGGCATCACCACAGTTGGTGAACCAGGAAGCGCAGCAGAGGGAGCCACAAACCCCAGAAACCAAAAATCAATGTATTCTGGGATGAAGGAAAGGGTGGAGAATCAGCAGCACTGCCCCCAGCTGCCACAGCCCTCCATGTCCCCTTTGCAACAACCAGAGGAGCATGCTGCAGTCTTCCTCACCCCTGAGAAGGCTCAGGCATGCCTGGCCCTACACCCCTGTCAGGTGGCAGAGCCCAGAAGCAATGACCAAATCAGATTCCAGCCATCTTCCCTTGGGCTGGGAAGGGAGGGCAGGGGAACGAAGGGAAGTAGAGTGGCAAGGCTTTCTGGGCTCCCACCCTTCTCCAGTACTCAGACTTTCTGTATATTTGGCATGTGCTTTTAAGATTTCGCTTGGCAAAAGGTTTCTCTCCACACTAAAGGAGTTTGAAAAATATCCTACTAATGCATGTGGGTGTTTAATTCAAGAAGCCACCACCAAACACACATGTTCCATGAGCGGACTCCCACAGAAACAGGGCAGTTGGGCCTGCATGTGCATGTGCAGTTGAGCGTGTACAGGGATCATGTGTGTGGAGGCAGGATGAGCATGTTTTCTTATGGTACCTGTGCACATTAGTGTGTGTGTGCACATGTGTGATCATGAGTGGAGACAAGGAGGCTTCTGCCCAGGGAGCTCCAGCTCCTAAGTCCCAAAGTCCACAGCTTTGATTCTCTCTGAGCCTGTTAGGGCCTGGAGTCTCTGCTCTCTCTGTGGGGAGGGCCTGGTGTTGGGTTTCATGGAAACCTTTTCATTATGGCAATTAAACAGCTGTAAGCCTTTGCTGTGGAAGTTAATGAATTCTTCCACCTGGGCTCAGGGCAAGGTGCCATTTGTGCTGCAGGCCCTGCTCTGGACAGGTGGAGAGAACTGCTTCATGGTCTGGATGAGTGTATGAGTGTTCACATGGGCCCTGGAATCATGTTGCCTGAGGAGGGCTATTGGGGTCAGGGAGGGCATCTGCCTTGCAGGAGGTCCCCTCCTCTATTGCTACTGGTTGCTGAGGCACATGGGGTGGAGGTGCATCATCTGGGGCCCTGGGGCCAGGCAGGTCACCCTGCTAGTTCCTTGGGGCCTTGTTAGCAACAGCATCTAGGGCGGGGCTGGTTAGGCCCAGAAGCTTATCCTCAACTGCTGGGAAGGCCACCTCTTTTTAAAAAATCATTATTATATTTATTTCTTTATTTTGTACACACACACACACACACACACACACACACACACACAGCACCATGTGAAGCATGTGAGGCTCAGGGATTGAACTCAGTTGCCAGGTTTGGTGGAAGCACCTTTCCCTGGGCGAGTCATTTCATCCACCTGAAGTCCGTCTCTTGACTTCCCCAGCCACTCAGGGTCTGTGGATCCTCCCCTAATTCCCACCCCATGGCTCAAAACCCTCCTTAGGTCAGGACCCTGGGAGGGGTCCAGCCCATTCCATGGCAATAAATGGCAGTTTCCCTTCTCTGTGGGAAGCTGGTACAGAGAGGCTGGGAGGATCCTCACAACTCCAAGCTATAGCTCAGGGGTTGCGGGGGCGGGGGGGCCTGCAAATTCACTTGATTTTTGAGGCTCCCGGTGTATTTAAAAGTAAGGAAATGCCAGCACATTTAAAAAATGATATAAATTGCGTATGGTGGCTCACACCATAATCCAGCACTTGAGAGACTGAGGCAGAGGATTACAAGTTTGGGGCCAACCTGGGCTACATAGTGAGTTTCTGGCCAGTCTGGGCTATGAAATGAAATCTTGCTTCAGAAAACCCCAAACAAACAAAGACATAAGTCTGGAGGACCAGTTCAAGGTCATTCTTGGCTATATAGATGTTTGAGACCAGCCTGAGCTACATGAGAAACTTTCTCTAAAACAAACAATAATTTAAATTATTTTAAAAATCTTGCTTCAAAAATTTTTTTTACATTTGTGTGTGTGTGTGTGTGTGTGTGTGTGTGTGTGTAC